ACAGGAGGCTCGGAAGCGACCAAGTCTGGTGACTGGAGTGGAACTCGAGTTTGGGCCTGAGGTCAGAGGTCAGGCACAGGATTCAATTTGATGTGCATGCCAAAGAGATAAAGGAGAGGGGTTTGATGGGTCTTCCTGCAAGAGATTGAGGGAGAGCAAAGGTAGGGAAATTGGCTAGGTCCTGCTCACACGAGAGAGGCGAAGGATGCAGGGGCTTTGACCTGGAATGAGAAGGTCGATGTAGACTTGAGCAAAGCCTGTGGTCGGCAAGCACTACAGGTGGTGGGAGGAGGGAAGTTCGGCACTAGGAGTGGCTGCAGGGGATGGAGCAAGGGGAGGAAAACCTAAGGCATACGACAGGCTCGTATTGATGCATATACGAGCGAATGTGATGTTTTATATGATATAGTAAATATAAAAATATAAAAAATTTATAATTTAAAATAATTTTATCAACAAAAATTAGGACACGTGTGTCCACTGAAATTTAAACATTATTTTAATCGGACATGTGTCTGCCATATCCAACACGTGTCCATGTTTGACATGTGTCCGACACTGCATTCCCTCTTTAAGAGGAGTGTTGGTTCATCATAGCTGCAACGTAACAACTATTGTCGAGCTAGTTCATTATTCTTTAAACACCCAATTCATTAGTTATTTACAACTTGTTGGTGAGTTAAAAACATAGAGAATTTTTTTTGAAAATCCTTATCATTTACCTATGTGCTAGTGTGATAGCATACTACCACAAGTATACACTGCCAAACTCAAACATAGAAAACTTTTTGAAAACAATAAGTAAATATGAGCATAAAAACACAAGACAAGTAAGGACAAAAATATCCATTTCATTCATGTAAACATTGTGTACATAATCGCGCTTAGAGCAAAAACTATTACACAAAACAGTCGAGTGCAACTTAATCAACAATCAAACCCGCACCATCACTCCCCTAACTTTCACTTAAGCCCCTCGACCTTCTGGTCGACTTCATCATAGTCAGCAAAACCTATACACAACTATACTTGAATGCATTCATAGTAAAGATGTCCCAGAATGGGATGAGCGACAATATAGTTTTCGCTTGCGTAGATACAAGACAAATGAGATGATTGACACCATGACGTTCGACAACACCTTTGTTGAGACAACCCCTTAGAAGTTCAGGATCTCCTTGAACTCGTTTCATAAAGGGAATCAAAGTCCCGAGGTGAAGGGGTCCCAAAGGGCATACACAGTTCATCCTCCATTGGAGTATTCAAGAGATCATCGTCACTCATTGCACGCACTTCCAAATTATTGTGCAAGCAGCAATACACTCGGAAGGGGAACACAACGCACTCAACGGCACTAGCAAACTCAAGTAGGTTATCAAAATTAGCAAACACTACAGTGCATTTTTCATAGCAGCCATGGAAGCATCAAAGCATTCACAAGAGAAGAGAGAAGAAAGGACAAGAAGGGAAAGTGGAACTCACACCATGACGAACCAACCCCTGGTATTTATAGGCAATAGTATCATGCACAAACATTGAGGCACCACTCATATATGCATTAAATTCGAGGAGCTCACATTCTCTCACCATCATTCCCTAAAGATTTCGCAACTCTTACTCACTCGCCTTACCGAATACTTGAGAATAAATATCTCACATGAACTCGAACAAAGCACCACTAGCCAAAAATAAAATTTTCTAGCCAATCTAAGTGAGTCATCATCCCAAAATACATTAATTAACTCGCCACATAAAACCTCACTCCCCATAATAATGCAGAAGCCAAAAAAATCTAGAAAACACCTAAATATTCTGCTCGTCACACGAAGCGCACATGCTACTGCTAGCTGCAGTGATTGAACTCGAGTATGTGTGAGACGATCTCACTCATTGCATACACTGCACTTGCCATATCAAAAATAATAATAATAATAACATAAAGATTAAGTACAAAACTCAACCAAAACTGTAAATTTATTAATATAAGTATTATTACATAGAACACGCAAAACAAACATGTAATACATCATTATAGTGAAAAGAAAAAGTAGAGCTAGGCTATTCATCATAATAAAAAAAAAAAAAAAAAAAACCTACATATGGGTATTAATAAACTATTACTAATGTCACCACCTACCGTAGCCCAATAATCCAGTACAAATTTGCAAGCTATTGAGAAACTAGACATCTTTGCCTAACGTAAAATAACCCTTGTCTCCAACCTCAAAGAGGCAATACAACCCTTTAGCTCGACGTGCTCTCCCTTCAGCTCGACAACCCCCTCTATCAGATCAATGACATTCTCCAAGGTCGCACTACCCCACGAGCTGCCAAACTCGCCAACACCTTGGATGTTCATCATTTTCTACCAGATAGTCAGCTACCAAGTGACCTTCACCAAGACCAACCCCTAGGAAGGGAAGATGTCAATGAAGCAGACATACGATAGCGAGTCTATGGGCTTCTCCTTGTACACATCATAGACATGCTCCTCCTCCAAAGTCTCAGCCTGCTTCGATGCAATACCCACCACCTACTTGCCAGCACCTGCACGTCAGCCAATCTTGAAGTCCTAGCATCCTCAAATTATTCCACAAAAGATGCCCCTATACTCAACAACGAAAGCTTGTGGATGGACAGATCAATAAAAACTTGGAGGCACAGCTTGGAGCTAACCACACGGGATAGTCCCCCTTGAGCACTAAAAAAGAGCCTACTATTTCAAAGCCTTCATCTAGTACTCGCTTGGCGGGTGTCATAGCAACTTGCTTGAGAAAATGTAGACTACAAGCTCTCTCACAGCGAGCAACTTTTTTTTCCTGATAATGAAGTTCACATGTACTAAACTTACCCATTTTCTCTTTACATGTCAGTGGAGGCAACCTCCTGAGAAATCTACACTGTAGGGGGCCCCAACACCACTCGCCTCTTCAACCACATGTCAAGAGGCTCATCATACTCTTTAGGAGGCAGAATGATCCTCATAGGAAGATCGGCATTATCACCAACAACAATAAGCTCAACACCATCAATCTTTGAAGTCAACAAAACAACAATCCCAGTGTTCAACCCAAGGTCGACCTTACTCTTCTTTGCAAGAGGGGTGGCACCAAGTTCATGGATCTCAAGCGTTACCCAAATGCCGCCCTCAACTTCAATACTCTGTAAGGCCTCAATCACCTTCTCAATTACTTCTTTTCAATCCTCTTAGCTCGCCTTTGGCAAAAGAAAATCTTCTTCAAAGCCCTCAAGTGATAATGAATTAAGATGACATGATTCATTCTCTGAATACTCACAGACTTTTAGATCACCAAAGAAAAAGTGTAAAGCTTTCTCAATGCGAATCCCCTATTTATGAAGAGCAAAGTGAGAGGTGGCATCATGTCACCATCATCAATTCAAGGCCAATATAGTCACCGAGACTATAGTAAAAACAAAAGAGTAACTCTATATTTACTTCATGTTTCATGTTTGTTACTCACATTTAATATCATTCACCCATCATTTTCGTTAGTCTCCAATTAACGGCCCAATGAATCGAGAAACTAAATGTATACTCGCATATGCCTTCATAGATATTTAATAGGTAACTGATAGGTTATAATAGAGGAGCTTGCCCATAAGGGAGCCCACAACAAGAACTCACCTAACAATTCGAGTGAAGTTACTCTCCAAGAACCCACAAGAGAACTCACTCAATATGATCAATAAGTGATACTCGACCAACCTACTAAGAAGCTTGCCCTTCTACAGAGCAAATCGGGGATTTCTCGTCAAGCTAGCAACTTGGCTCCTGCCTTGTACCTAGGCTATCATCTCAGTCACTTACTCTCTCCCAGGCAATCATTCTCATCCAAGCTCACCAAGCTCAGCTATAGAAAAGCATCTATTCATGGGGCTCTAAGTTTATCTTGCCAAGAACATCCAACCTAAAGCCTCTCCCTTCCCATGGCAATATCTCATTCGCATCTCTCTTCTCAGGAAATCTGAGATCCCTCACGCAAGCCTCCGATAACATTAACGTGTCTGCTGGTCGCAAGTCCCTTCATCTCAACATTCACTCACATACTTGCCCAAGCCTATTAGCCTACACAGCGCTACTGAGCTCGCTCCAGAAGTAGATCATAGAAAGGCCATTTAACCTCGCCCTCTTGCAACCAATCGGAGGATGATATGTGTCTAAGATAGTTGATGTAGTATTGTATATTTACATTTTAATGTAGTCTTTCCTGTAGCCCTTAGAATCCCATAAATAAGGTGTGATGTTTAACAATTTGAAACCCTTTTTATTGTTGACTAATTTTGGAGAATTTTATGCTAGATTGAGATTTGCAATTTTCTTCATTTTTCCTCTCTCCCTCTCTCCCTCTCCCTTCTCAGGTTATCCACTCATAGGATAGGTATGCTAGTAAAGTCAAGTGTCATCCATGGATAAATCTAGATCCAACACAGTTCATAGATTTTGGTCTTTAAAATTATAGAATTGAAACATTTCGCAACCAAACTTTTGTTCAAGTAAGATACAACCTCTATGTTAATAATCTATTAACATCAGTTACATCATTTTGGTTATGTCTGGGTGGCATTAAAACTATTTGCTACATCTTCACAACAACCTTGATAATGTAGGAGTAAATATATCTATAGGAGAGCACTTCCCCCGAGAGAAAAAACTTTGTTGTCTTCTATTCATGTTTTGGTGTCTTCCCAATCTCCCCAATTCAGAATGACCATAATCACAAATTACCCCACCCTTGCCCTGCTTAATTAATTAAATTCCTATTCTAGCATAATAAAGCATAGAACACAGCATAATTAACAAGCCAAACATAGAAAAGCAAATCCATCTGCGGGGGCAAATACTATCTACGAGGATCCAACTCCTGAAATCAAATTCTATAACCATATGATAACCTAAATTGGGCCATCTGGCAAACTAAATGTAAACGAGATGAAGTGAAACAGAGGGAGAAAGAGAAATGGTGCTGCATGAAGCGAACCCTGGTCGTTGCGAGCAGTGAATATGATTGACCCTGTCTCGTCACCGACGAGGCATTCGGAAATCCTCGTCTGCCGTAAGTGCGCCGAAGCCGCCCGTCCCTTCTGCAACACCGAGAACGAATTGACCACCTTCACCACGAGAGTATGGCCACTCGTCCCCGGCTTCAACTGATCCACCTTCACAAACACCGGCTTCCGCATCGCTGGTTTCACCGCCGCCCGATGCGCCGCCGTCGACATTACTTCAGTAAACAAAGATAGCCTCAGATATAAAACCCTAACCGCAACCTAAACTTCGAGATATATCCCAAATTGAGTTTTAGCCGGGGGAGAACCGTGGAGTGGCTAACGATTTGCGTAAGCCCTGTCAAAAAGCACAGAAGGATTGCAAACCCTGTGAAGAAAACATCAAATGAACGGCCAGGATACATACAATGGTTGATTTTGGTCCACGTTGCATCGCGTTGACTTCATCATGCTAAAGGCCTCGGTTTTTTTTTTTTTTTTTTTTTTTTGGGAAAATTTGGACTTAGCCGGTGTATTAATCAGAAATGGTTACAAGCAAATGAAGCAGAAGCCTCAAAGAAAGGAAATTAATGGCTCAAACAAGCCCAAAAAAACCCCTGAAAATATAATGAGACATGCAGGATTTTAGCAAAATGGCAGAAACACTCAAAAGAATGAGGACAGCCAACGTTTTTTTTTTTTTTTTTTTGGGAAAATTTGGACTTAGCCGGTGTATTAATCAGAAATGGTTACAAGCAAATGAAGCAGAAGCCTCAAAGAAAGGAAATTAATGGCTCAAACAAGCCCAAAAAAACCCCTGAAAATATAATGAGACATGCAGGATTTTAGCAAAATGGCAGAAACACTCAAAAGAATGAGGACAGCCAACGATGCCTGGACTTAGGTAGAAAGCAACATGTTCAGAAATAGGAAAAGCCACCGAGATCCCCTGGTTGCCCAAAAAAACGCCATCCAAAGGAGAGCCTACAAAATAAAACAAGCTCATCATTGTTCAAGGCATAGCCCTACAGGCAAAGACAACCGAGGCAACCGAATCCAAACCATCATGAAGGAGCAGCAGATACATATTGCAAGTCCACCTTAAAGCATATCCATAATATGAGATGAATCTTTCCACTTAATCACTTTCTCAAAAACAATTTTTTTTAATATTGATAGCAATAGTAATGTGGCTATGAGAGGCATTCCCAAATCTTCTATCATTTTGTTCCTTCCAGATAAAATAAATGGTGCATCAAACAATAAGCAAGTGTAAATTTTTGACCGACTGCTGCATAGAGATGCTATCATCTATCCATTCCAATAATTGTAAAACATTTGGCCTAAACAAAAGACCACTAGAGTCGGGCAGCAGGTGGTTAATAATAGAGAAGGAAAAAGAGCATTGCAAAATAAAATGGGCTCATCATTGTCCAAGGTATTGCCCTGCAGGCAAAGACAACCGAGGCAATCGGATCCAAACCATCATGAAGGAGTAGCAGATACATATTACAAGTACACCTTAAAGCATATCCATAATATGGGATGAATCTTTCCACTTAAAGGCCTCGTTTGAGGAGGCTAGTTTTATCTTTCTATGTTTCGAAATGTGTTTGTGGCTGTTTGAATATGATGTTTATGTGAAAAATGTTTTTTTTGTATAACTTCATTTTTTATTGTTTTAATAAGCTTTTTGATATATGCTTTTTCGTTTGAGAATTCTATTTTCTTTACCAACGTTTTTAAAACTATCTTTTATAAAAATTAAGGGATAACCAAACGAAGCCGAAATTAGTTTGGTTGGACATGACCTTATGTATAATTTTAAAAATAGAATTTAAGGTTATTTAAATTTGAATTTTAAAAATTAATAGTCAAATTAAATTTCTCGATGGAACTCCAGCTTCAAATGAGTCGACTCAAATACTTAAAAGTGTAAATAACTTTAACATATTAATTCAAAGATCAAGTTTCCTGTGAATCCCTTATGCATATTGTTAAATTAAGTGTCTCGACAAGATAATTCTAAAATCGTGTTATTTAAATATATTAAAACACTTAAAATTTGAAAGAATTATCTATGACCATGAGAATCAATAGGGATAGTCTAATGGAGTGTTCAATATTTTTATCAATTTTATGAGGAATGTCCTTCAAAAATTTTAAAATTAGCCCCCACTTTCTATATGAGAGGTTTAGACATTTGACTTGAGATTTAAAAGAGCTTGGAGGCTTAAAGAACTTCAGAGCTCTAACATAGCATTATATGATCACTATCAACAAACTACCCCGAGACCACAGCTTGGTAGTTTCTATCGAGCCACTACCTAACTACCGCGATCAAACCACCACTTAAACGTTACTATTGAATAATCATTAGAATGTTATGACTAGCCCATCAGCTAACCTTACAGTTAGTCCATCACAATCATCAAATCATTGTCACTAGACCACAATCACTTGACTTTTATAGTTGAATTGTTGTCGTCCAACTATTGAAATCATATTGTCACAACCAAACCTCTTTATTTGGCAATCATCATTAACTTATGGTCCTTTGACTAACATTGTATAACTAGTATTCTTGACCCAAGATCCTCCAAACATTATCTCTTAATTACAATCTTCCATCGATTACTCTACCACCATCCCTCAATTATAATGACCCTACCACTATCTCACAACTAAATTCACCCAACCACTATTGCATGATTGTGGCCCTTATACCACTATCACATTACTATAGTCTTTCGATCGTTGTTACCCATCTATAGTTCTTGACCATCATTGCATAAGTATGGTATGTTAACCACCTTTACATGATTAAAGTCTTTCGATCAGCATCGTCAAATATGGTCCTTTGACTACTGTCACTAGGCAATAGTCCTTCGATATTAGATCATTTGTCCAAATATAGTCCTCCAACCACAATCATTATGTGACTATTAGATGAGAATGGTTGCCAAACAAAATCCCTTGATTAGGATTGCCCAACCACAAGCGCTCTACTACGATACTTAGTTCACTATTGCCTAACTATGACCCTTTTAACATTGTCGCATAATTATGGTCCATCGAACATCCATACTCGACTACAATCCTTTGACTTTCACTGCTCAACTTTGCTCTAGTGTATTGACCTCCCTTTTACTTAAACCCTTGGTCAAAGGGGTTGACTTGATCAAATTGACCAAAACAGGCCCTAAGACCACCTCCCTTGCATTCAGTGGGTCAAACCTGTTGAAACTTGTTCAATATGAATTAGGTTGTTAAACATAAGCTTATGTCCCAGTGGCTAACCAAGAGGGGGGGTGGATTGGTAATTAAAAATTAATCCATTTTTTAAAAATTTAAAACCGAGAATTAACTTTAGTGAATTTTATAGAAAGATATTTTTGAACCACAAGTTAATACAGTAAATATTAAAAGGCAGCAGAAAATAAAAAGATATATAATTTATAGTGGTTCGATCAACACGACCTACATCCACTCCCCGGAGGCACCCTCCGAGTATTGCACTAATATCACTAGTAACTCTCCTTTTGCACCCACAGCAAGGCGAAGAAGACTTTACAAAACTCTCTTCCACTACTACCCGATGCGGCAGAGAACCGTCATCTTTTTACATTATTCCCAGTGTTGGCAGAGAATCATCTGTCCTTTTTCACACTCTCCCGGTGTAGGCAGATAATCCTTCATCCTTTCATACTCTCCAAGTGTGAGTAGAAAATCCTTCATCCTTTCACACTCTCCAAGTGTGGGTAGAGAACCCTTCGTCCTTTCACACTCTCTAAGTGTGGGCAAAAAACCCTTCGGCTGTTTACACTCTCCAAGTGTCGGCAGATAACCGGATCTCTTTGACAGATCTTCTTACAAGAAATCTAGAAGGAAGAAAGAAAATAGTGAAGTAATCAAAAACCACAAGTAGAGATTCTTACATTTGAGTACTAAGTGAATCTTTCACGCTTTAGTAGTAAGAATCCTCCTTCAAACACTCTCTCACACTCACTCCTTGAGTCTCTCTTCAGTTGGCACGAGGATCAGAAGGAAAAAATATTAAGAGGCAATTCTAATTGAACTTTATATAGGAAAGACACAAAAAACCATCCAAAAATTGTTGATATTCAAGTTTGTACATAGTGGATCATCCTGTACGATCGTAGATCATCCTAGACAAACTTACTTAAATCAGTTGCATACGAACCCAATGAATATTGGTATGAACTATCTTCATACCCGATTATCTTCTCGTACAAACTAAGTTCGTCCGGTACGAATGGTTATACCATGGGTCGGTTTGACAAACTGCAAGAAGTTATCAAAATTGGATATGTTAAAACATTTTCATCCTGGGATGAATAAGAGTTTGTCTGGACAAAATTTTTACAGAGAGCATTTCATCCTAGGCCGAATAGGAACTCATCTGAACGAAAATTTTCCAGAGAGCATTTCGTCCTGGAACGAATTTAAGTTCATATGGACGAAATTTTTACATGGGCCGAATATAAAATTTCATCTGAACAAAAATTTTCCAGAGAGCATTTCGTCCTAAGATGAATTGAAGTTCGTCTGGATGAAATTTTTACATAGAGCATTTCGTCCTAGGATGAATAGAAAATTCATCTAGACGATTAGGACTTAGAAAAATTTTTATACTTCCTATTCGTTCCATTGCTCTTCCAAGGAGATAACTAACTTGATCGTCCCGTACGAACATGGTTCGTCCCGTACGATCAGTATGAATTTTAAAGATCTCCCCAAATGTGTGTGTGCTAAGTTACTTAATTACAATCACTCCCTCTCAAACTCAATACAATGAAAAGTACAAGCTTCAATTTATAAATTATTTCATGCTGAATTTTGAATTGAAGTCTTCATTATTCTGGAGTTTGATTATCCTGAAATATTAGTCCACACAAGAGCAAAAACAATTCTTTTAAAAAAGTGTTAGGAGAAAATAAAACTTTAAAATAATAATATTTGGAATCATCAAAACTTTACAAGTTGCAAGAACATAAAACATGCAAATAACAACTCTCTCAACAATCTCCCCCTTTATATGATGGCAAAACAATTATTATTTGTATAAATTTTAAATTTTAAGAATCTCCTAAACTACTGAATTGATGAATATATGAAAATAAGGAGGTATTTCACAACAATTTTATCTTTTATCTTTTCCTTTTTGATACAAAATAAGCACATAGATACAATACAAATAAGCACATAAATACGATACAAATAATATTTTCTCCCCTTTTTGTCAACATCAAAAAGAGAAGAAGAAAAATGATAGAAATGTAAGCAGTCATATGATAATCATTTGATAATTAATGCTTGAAAATGATTGAAATAAATATTGTAAATAAAATCAAATCATTAGGTAAATAAAAATAATTCATATAATTTAAGAAGAGATATAACATTGATAATAACAAATATATAT